GGCAGGAGGCGGAAGCGTCCGCGAAGCGCGAGCGCGCGCGGGAAGCAGAAGCAGAGAGTACGGCCATCTCAGGACCGAAGAGAAAGAGAGCCGGGGAAGCGGCGGTGGGGGGGAAGAAACGGCGACCGGGCACTGCTGTAGAAGCGAGTAGGGCGGCCGAGGCAGCACTTGTGGCGAACTATGTACCCGGCTGATGTTGTTGCGCCCTGTTTCCCTCCCTGCTGTATGCTATACTCCTTTATGCTGTTGTTGTTGATGTTTCTCACATTACCTCTATAGTCCACATAAAATGGGGAGCCCGTGGTCTCAAAACCCGGCACATACGACGCCGCGGGGAAACAAAACAAAAAAAACTTTATGAATGTCTATTGTATTGCCTTCGGCATCGGTGCTGTGTTTCTTTTTTGCATGACCTCCCTGCCTACTCTGCTGTGTTGGGTACCTTGATCTCGCTTTGCTGTTGCCTTTGTTTTTGTACGTCTTGCTGTCTGCCCATCTGCCGCCTCTTTGCCCTGTTTGCTCCGTTACTCCCATGCCCTGGTGCGTAGTGCCTGGTGCTGGTACGTTACCCTTTGATTTTTTCTTCTGGGCGGGTGTGGGAAGCGTCCTCCTTTATTTTAATTTTTCGCTTATTTTGATCGGTTTCCGAGGGCTCTTTTCTCGAACGGTCGGGGCGATACCTGTTCTTTTTTTTTCCAGCATATTGTTTTCTTTTTCCGAGTGGTTTGTACCCTTTTTTTGTTGTATTTCCCGCGGCGTCGCATGTGCCGGATTTTGAGACCACGGGCTCCCCATTTTTTGTGGACTATAGAGCTAATGTGAGAAACAACAACAACAACATCATGCATGGTAATCTTTCTCGCCTGGCTGCGGCAGCTAGCTTCCTTCCGCCGTTGAAACAGACAGAGAGGTGCTCCGCCGAGGCTTGCATCCTCACCCCAGCCAGGATCGGGCTCTGGAACGTGAGAGAGGACGGCCGTGTAGTGCTGCGATGGTTGGGTCTTGGGTGCAGCTCTATCTTGAGGGCGCGCGGTGGAGGACTGTTTTGGTAGTCTGGGGGCGGTTGTGCGAGAGAGGGAAAGCAAGGTGAGCTTGCTGGTGGTGGTTTGGTGGATATGTTTTGTTTTTTTTTGGCGGCATCCACATCCATCCGTCCACCGTCCGTGCGAGAAGACGGTAAAATAGGTGCATAGCCCACACCACCACCAGACCACCGTCTCTTTGCACGACGGGATAATGTTGAAATACAAAAAACAAATCCAGCGTTATGAGGTAGTATGTATCTGTTGCTGATTCGTTACCGGCTACTACATAGATTCGACCGGTGTGCCCGTGCATGGCTACATACATGTAATTTTTTTCTTGCACATACTGCTGCTGCAGAATGCCATATGTAGGAAAGGTATCACCTGGTTTTTACTGTCGACCCCCCCCGCCCGACAGATTACTTGAGGAACATACGCACATACCGGACGAATTCGGTAACACAACAGACGAACAACCTACCAGGGTTCTAGAACTCAGATGAAGAAGCGACACGCGCGCAACACAATCACGTACTACCCATACCACTCACTGCGTGCCATACTTTCATCATTAATATATAGACTATAGACTACTCCGGAGTATTTTTTTTGCGAAGCCCTACCCCATCGATTGATCAAAAGTCTTCCTCTACTCGTGTATGTTGCAGCCACACCATGGAGTAGTTTGCGCCCGCACTCCAGAACCTGAGGAGGAGCTAAGAAACAGGATATGAATGAACGAAAACTTAACAGTTTGGCCGCAAGAACAGGTACTACTTCCGTCGAAAAGCCTACCAGTACTCTAAAACGTACTAAAATATATATAGATTAGGTCGCCGTTGCGGTACCCGATAGACTAGAGAAAGATACTCCTTCTGTATGAAACAAGCCTCGGCGAAACAGGTTCTTGAGTGCGGGCGCTTACTGCGTTCGTCGCGTTTGAAAGTGACCTTACGGGCAACTCCTTTGTTCCACAAGGTTGGATGCTAATGACTCACCTTGAACCCTGCCCTTGTTTGCATACGTCGACTACTCATGGCGGCCTGAGCTTGCTTGTAGTTCTGACTTCTCTCTGTTTGTCTCGGGCTCTCGAGTTGGTGTGTGGAGGTGCTGTAGATGGAGCCTTGGCTTGATTGGAGCTCAAGCTATTGAGCACTCGGTCTCAATGCATTCGAATAGCACAACTATCATAGCTGCTTGTGAAAGCAAGGAGAGGGGGGCAGGCGTAAGTGTAATGTAGTGGGCAGCCTTCTCTCTTCCAGGTGGTTTTGAGGGATGATGGATGATTGGTAGAGGTATCAAGCCTAAACCGCCTCCTTGAAGAAACAATAACGACTTCTTCAGATCGTTTCGGTGGCTACACAGGTGGCCATATCTCGGCGAGTGCAGAGGTACAAGCTCGCATTGCGCGGGCGTCAAGACGCCGAAAACAGGCGAACAAGATCGACCTCGGACCAGTCAACGCCAATGATATGGGGATGGAGTGTAGACGCATCGTAGAACGCGTTTTCGTTTGAAGTTGGCGTCTTGTTTGAGAGTAGATGTGACAGATTTTCGTAGAATAGGGTAAGATGTTATCATGAACGGAGAAGAAAGGGCTTTTTTTCCAACACGGAGATGTAGCATGGATCAAAGCATGTGTTGGATATCAGCTTTTACAAGAGGACATCAACGCAGTAGTATTTTAGCAAGCTTACGAACGCATGTAGGATACCATGAGGATTGTCATTGGTTTGTTTCAAATTGAAGAGGAGATATTTTTACGATGTAAGTGACATACTGTTGCCTCTTCGTCGAAAGGTGCGGCTTGACCACCGACGGTTCGGCACCCTGCAGGACAGACGATGGAGAATTCGGCCGCTCTGGATCCCCGTCCCGTGTATGTCCCTTATTTTCATGTGTCGCTCATTTTCATGGGACCTTTTTTTCGAGACCTGTACGGAATGTCACGTACTANTTAACTATTAACGAGTGAGATACATGGGCAGGCAAGCAGAGCCTACGCGTCAAGTCCATCGCACCCATCATGTACAATATCTATCTGCGTAACCCCCGGAGATCTCGGAGATTCGTATCCTGCCGAGTACACACACAAACAGCCCCCCTACTCGGTACGAGACACGATCACGAGATCCTCCGTACATATATCGCCAAGCAAAACGGCAACAATCCAAAAACCATTCACCTTTTGTATCCACAAATCATCTCAACTCCCGGATCTATCGAATACTCAAATTTCAGGTTACTCCTTCTTATGACTATGGAACTTCACTAAGAGTCTTAACAAGCACCCCTCTCGAGAAAACGTCGTCACCACATTCTCAAGCAGTCAAAAACAAAGAATTATACTTGGAAAAATACTCAGCAAAGATCAACATTACATCAGAGCCACGTCATAAAGACTCTGGACGGACAACTCTGGCAAAACGCGTCAACAAATACCTCGAACAAAATTCTCGCACAAAACTGTGTTTCAACTCATTGACCAATTTAAAATAAGCTTCGGAAGCACACAGGCCTCAACCATGTCTTACCAAAATATGCCAAATCCTTCCTCCAGTACATCGTTCAGAACCACCATCAATACCAAATACACATACCCCTGTCCTATGCCCAGGCCCTCATCCAGGCAGGCTGCGAGGAAACCATCGAGGCCACCGTGCGCAAACGGAGACTGTGTTTCGCGGGCTTCGTTATGCGCATGGAGGACAACCGCCTCCCCAAGCGCATGCTGTTAGGAGCAATGGCGGGGGGCGTGGGATACCGGGGCGGGCA